GGAAACATCTCGATGTGACGGCAAGCGGAGACGGCCCCGCCGGGAAAACTAAAAACACATTTGGGGCAGAAACCACCATTCTAGAGACTGATGGAGCTGGGATTGGGGCCAGGACAGAGAGGGTCTCTCCAGACCTGGACCTTTCCTGGTGAGGCTGGACACTGGCACTGGTGGAGTTTTTTCTTGCCACCCTCAGCCCTCTTTAAGCTGCTTTCCCACTGCTCAGGGAGGAATTAACCTAATCCCCTTTTGTGTGGGGACAAAACTCCCAGTGCTTGGATAATTGCTCACCCCAGCCATGCTGGGAAGGGGTTTGGCAGCAGAAAAGCTGGGAGGTGGAGTGTTGAATCAGTGCAGGCAGGATATGGCCCTGCTGGCTCCCTGTGCCAGAAGGGGAGCGAAGGGCAGCAGTGGCAGGAGCCAACATGGCTCTGCCCACACTGGACTTTACTCCCCAGATATTGGTCAAAGGTAGAAAACCCTTCTGCACCCCCTTTGCTGCTTACCAGGACACAAAATCCCCTTTTTGCTCCCTAAAAGACACATGAAGCCATACCTGAAAGCCATTGGGGTATCCATCACTGTCACCAAGGGACTCCAGGGGGTCTTCATCATCCAGCGTCGCCCGCTTGTAGGTCGACATCTGCACAGGGAGATCAGCAACAGAGGTGCTCAGTGGCCTCGGAATGAGGAAAAGATGAAGGAGAAGGAAGGTTTACACACCTTCCAAACAAAGCCACCTCCTCCTTCAGGGAGCAAAATCCCGAATGGCTCAGAGGTAGTAAAGCACTGCACAAACGCCGGAGGATGGTTATGGAAAGCAAAGAGGGCCGGAGCCAAGAGCTGAGCAAAGCCCGAACCCGCCTCACTTTCCCCCGGGGCCGCGTTGTGCAACCTCCCCTTCAGCCTGGAATAAATCCGGATCCACCTCCGCCCTGCAGCGGGGAGAGCGACCCCCCCTGTGCCAGGGCACCCCGGAGTGCCAGGCACCTGGGCAAGGCTGGCAGCAGGGAAAATGGCTTTTCTCCCCGACACTCCCGGCTCTATGAACCCCGCGCACCGTGAAACACCCGGACACGTCCCTGCGAGCACCCAAAAGCGACAGCACCAGGAATTTCAGCTGCGGACTGGCTCCCTCCCGGCGCCGTGTCCCCCGGGCATTATCTTGTGCCTGTGCCCGGCTCTTATCTCATCCCCGGCAGAAAAACAAGGAAAACCTCACGGGTTGGCAGCCGGCCCTTATCGTGCCGCCGCCGCTGTTTCCTTCCCCCTGGCACTGCCCTGCCATCCAGCCAGATTGTCTCCCGATGGAGCAAACAACGCTCCACTCCCCACCGAGGGGCTGGGCACCCCAAAATCCACCCTGACCCTGCCACCGATAGGCAGAACAGCACCACTCACAGCCCTTCACCCGCAATCAGTGCAGGCAGGGGATTTAAACCCCATCTGGACGTCCCCATCCCGCTGCCATCTATCCCAAAGGGATGAGCTGATCCAAACCCCGCACAGCCGTGCCTCAGTTTCTCCAGGCAGAATGAAAGCACCGGTTCTCAGCCTTGTTTCCAACAGCAGCATTCCCAAAACTCCCTCAGCACATTTAATAGCAAGTCTGATCCTCTCCCCGAATCCCAAATCCCAGCCTCAGTTTAATTAACCACAAAACCCACCTGGGGAAGGAAAAGGGTTAAAACAAAGAGGTGGTTTCCCTCCTCGGTTGTACCGAAATCTCTGCTTGTAGCTCCAAAATCTCCCCTGGGCGCCCGCCTGGAGCCTGAGAACCGTGAGGCAAAAGAGCCTCAACTGCAAGATTTTATCGTGGGGAAAATCTCTGTTTAGATCCTATTTTTTCCCACCCCTTTCACTTTTTTCCACCTATTTTAGTACTTCGCACATGGCTGGAATTGGCAGCTCCGGGCACAAATCCCCGCTCACGCAGGGGAGGGGGGAATCCATGAAGCCCCCACGGCTCTGCAACACCAAATTCCTGGAATCCCAGCTTTCACTCCATTTCCTGAGGAAATACAATCTTTTTTTCCCCTCAGCGATCCCCCACCCCGCCTACCCTAGCCTGAAAACAAGGAAAAAGACCAAAACAAGAATCCCTTTCTGTTCTCCTTTCACAAGAGATGTGCTGGCTCAACCCTGTACCAGCCATCAGAGAATCAAAACTGAGCCCGAGTTCCCCAAAACACCCCCGAGAGGCACTAGGGTCGACCCCCAGCAACCTTAATTTGAGGGGAAATCGGGCTCGGGAGGTATTTTTAACACCCATATCCTTCATATTGTGGCCATAGCAGCACCTCGGGGTGCTCCTCATCCTCTCCAGCAGGTGAAGCAGGAGCACCCCTTTTTTTGGGGTAGCTTTTGTCATACACCTCCCCCCTCCAAGCCTTTATTTGCTTCAATCCGAATAAAAATCCATTCTCCCCGCTCCAACACGGTGGGGGACACCCACACTTTACCCCCCGCGCAAGGGATTTTCACTCTCTTTACAACTTATAAAAATCTTATAAAAATCAGCATTAAATAATG